TACAGTGACACCATCAATTCCCTCATTGGCATTGGGATTGCCCTCTCTGGGATTCCTGTCTACTTCGTGGGTGTTTACTTGCCTGAGTCCCAGAGGCCAGTCCTTATTCGAAATGTCCTGGGTGAGCTTTTTTGCCTGTTATTCACAGTGTGTGTGTGTGTGTGTGTGTGTTGCACAGATGCCTGTTATTCACAGTGTGTGTGTGTGGTGCGCAGATGCAGGCAGAGGTGGGAGTGGTGGCTAACAGCTGCCCCTATACTAGTGATGTGCTAGAGACCATGAGACCTGGTTGCTCCACATGACTTCTTCCCTTTTACCTTTTTTTTTTTAAAGATTTTATTTATTTATTTGAGAGAGAGAGAATGAGAGATAGCACGAGAGGGAAGAGGGTCAGAGGGAGAAGCAGACTCCCTGCTGAGCAGGAAGCCTGATGTGGGACTCAGTCCCAGGACTCCAGGATCATGACTTGAGCCGAAGGGAGTCGCTTAACGAACTGAGCCACCCAGGCGCCCTTCCCTTTTGATCTTGAGCATTTTAGTTCTAACTTTAGAGTCCTATTTTGGGGTTAAAACACTCGCTTTTAAAAGTGTAATCCATGTGGGAAGATGAGGAGTCATGCATTACTTTCTGGTTGGGCACATAATGAAGGACAGTGAGGCTTGCTGGTGGTAAGAGGCAAAGCCTGGTGCAGGATACCCAGGGGACAGGTGGGAGGGAGCCACAGATCTGCTTTAATCAACTTTGGGGTGTTCATATTGAGGTTGTAGCTGTCAGCTTGCTGAATTCTGTTCTCTATTTTCATTTAGCTGCTGTCACCAAAGTCACCCAGCAGCTTTGCTTTTGCGTCCTGACTGAGCTTGATGTAGCTGAAGAAAAAAAGGTTGAGAGGAAAACGGACTAGAGGCCACAGGTGATCTCTCTTGAGGCCTGGAAGGCCAACCACAGCCACCAAAGTCCAGATGACAAGACTACAGGCCCACCCCTCTTGTTCTAAAGGAGTGTGGTGGCCCACATTGTATCAGGGGGGCTCAGGGCTGATGGCCTGCTCTGGTGGTCACTCTCATTGGTAAGCTACGGGAGACTCAGGTTCCAAGGCAAGCCTGAAGATGGGAACTTTATAGAGGGTGGTGGTGGGGAGGGCTTCGTCAGGGGAATAGTTGTTTAGTTTTATTCCTGGTGAGTAGGTACAGTTTACCAAACACTTGGCGAACTGCAACGGGAGAAGAGGGAGTGCTAGGTTAATAGATGTGGCTGGTGGTTCTGAATTTGTTATTTGAGGTTTGAATCAGGAGCCTCTACAAATGGGGCTGCTTTATGGGAAGATTTCCTGTGATGGTCCAAGCACTGACTCTAGAGGCCTGAAATGCTACCATTTCTTCCTCTGACTCAAAATCTTTCCCTGGGAAGACAGTTGTATTTCATTATTTATTGATATTTAATCCAGGACACCAATTCTAGCAGAGCATTGGTGTTTATTCATCTACAGGATGCAAAAAGCTGATTGTGTTTAAAAACTCAAAGTACCCCCAACCGAGTCCCTCTGCCCTTAGAGGTGTGTCTGTGTGGTGGGTCAGCCTCTGATCACAGAGTTTTTTTTTTGCTTGGTTTTACGCACAATTTTCTGTTGAGTCTTAGCTGCAAAGGTGAACTTTAAAGATTTTTTTTTTTTTACTCATGTATTGGTTACACTTTAGTTAGTAGGTCACAGATTATAAGCACCTGGCTCAAATCAGCAAGGACGAATGAACAAATTCATGAGTCAGAAGTCTGATAATACTGCTATTCTGAAAGATAATCCCTTATTTTACTTGAGACCTCAGGTCCTTATTCTAGATGATAGAAGGTAAATCTCTGGTTTCTGGTATGAACTTTAGGAGGACATAAACTGTTTTAGAATTCAAGTGGATTACCTGGATTCTCTCAGCCGTTCAGTGGCTTAGAGAACATCTCATGGACTCAAGCCACCAAATAGCTTGTTTCTGTCAGGGCTGGTGTGAGGAACTGCTGTGCAGACCCACGCAAGCCCAACTTGGTGCTAGAAGTGGTCATTTCCGTTTTCCAAAAACCTCACACCAGACTGCATCCTCCTCTTCTGTCCCCGACACTGGGCTTCGTTTACACTCTGAACTGTCTTGGTGTGGATCATCAGGATAGTGCATTCCCGTCCTGTCTGCCTCCCTTTGCTGGAGGTCTGGCGGGCCTGCAGTCTCAGGAAGAGCTTGGTACTTGCGTGGACTTCTATTTTCTCCCTTTGGAGGTCAGAGAAGACTTTGGGGGACAAAGCTGCTTCAACCTCAATCTGGCTCCTCAGCAGGCTGCATGATTGGAAGCAACTAATTCTGGTGCTCAGGGTGTGCTTTAGCATCCAAGTCAGGCCTAATGGATGTTCCCTGTGGGCAGCCATGGTTGCAGTGGACTATACAACTGTCCAGACTTCACCCAGGAACCCTTCTGTGGGAGGGCATCCAGAGACTCCCTACTGTCATCCTGGGTCCAGAGGAACCTGCTGACTTGGCTAACCCCATGCCTGGACTTCTTATCCTTTCGTTTTAGAACTGGTCAATGGTAAAGACAAGAACTATGAGGCAATCTCCCTTTCTGAACATTCTTTTCCATCAAATGGCCAGGGCAGTAACCTTGGCCATACTTGTTCAATAAAGACAATTTAGGGGAGCATGATCACAGCTGCCTTCCATTCGGGGCATGCATGGATGAGAAAATGAGGGGACATTCTTACTGTCATGGGTTGGGGATTTGCACAGCAAATTCCTTCCTGGCAACAGGGAGTCTTATGCAAAGGCTGACTTGCCTGGAGTATGTAAACATGACTCCTGCCTGAGCCAAGATGGCACCTATCCCAGGGATCCTCTGGAGCTAATCCTTTAAGCAGAGTGTGCTTGTCTTAAGGATACCTGACCCAGGTTTTAGCTTTCTCCACTGAAGCAAATGACCAGCTAATCCCAGGAACTTGCTGCCCCCAGTGGCTCCCCGGAGAAGCACGGGCCTCACGCCTTAAGTGCCCCAGGACAAGCTTAGTGAGCCATGTCGTCCTCCTCTCATTACTGGATGGCAACCACATTCTTCCTCTCTGTGCTGGATACAGACTTCACCCAGGAACCCTTCTGTGGGAGCGAAGCCAGAGGCTCCCTACAGCACTCAAGCTTCATGGTGGAATTAAATTTCTGCAAGGTCTCTGTTGTTCGTCTCCTTCAGTCCTTCTCCTGGTGTGCTAATCCCTTTTGCAGTAGGTACAGTATGTGAGGTTGTCAGCCCTTTCGTGTTGGCAGACTTTAACGGTACATAAACAGCAGTGAGCACATTATAATGGCACGGAGTGGTTTCTAATCCTTTGTTTCTATGCCTACAGAAGACTAAGAGGACTACTGTTAGACATGTAAGTCGCTGCCTGTCACAACACTGAATTGTACCTTTGTGGAGAGCTAGGATGGTTTCACTGGTTTTCTTAACTGCAAGAGCCTGAGGATGTGAACATACAGAATTTAACCACGTAGGCAGGTTTAACATGCGGATAAGAACTCATGTAGGTGAAGACCTACAAAATGAATACAGAATGAAAGAAAGGGTGGAGGCAGGATGGAAAAAGAGAGATAGGAAATCTTAAAAGATGTGGGAAGACCTATCCCTGTGTACATGATAGTGAGTCTGTGCCACGTGCCAAGAAGGCACATTTTGAACCAAAGATTGTTTTCCTAGACCTGTGCTGTCCAGTATAGTAACTACTAGCCACAGGTAGCTAATTAAAATAAAAAATTTGATTCCTCGGGTGCACTAATCATATTTCAAGAGCTGAGCCACATGTGGCTAGTGGCTACTACTAAACATATCCATCTGCACAAAGTTCTGTGGGACAATGTTACATTAGAAGAATAAATGCCAACTCAGAGTTAAGACATTTGTGGTATGGAAAGAAGTAGGGTCAGGGTTTCCTTACAAGGAATCTAAGTTCTGGTAACAGAATTGATCACTGTTTTTGGTGAGTGCTGTGAATAGTTGACCTTTCTCATTGGAAAGCTATGTTTAGGATATGTTTTCCTTTTCCTCACCTGCCTAAAGTCCTTAGTGTCTAAGGTCAATCCTGAAACTTCTGTCTCACTAACCCCCTCCCCCCATCTTTGGTGGACGGTAGGGAGAGAGTGTGTACAGTGGGAAAACATATGTAAAGACACTGAGATCTGGGGACGCCTGGGTGGTTCAGTTGGTTAAGCAAGTGCCTTTGGCTCAGGTCATGATCCTGGAGTGCTGAGACTGAGTCCCACATTGGGCTCCCTGCTCGGCAGGGGGCCTGCTTCTCCTTTTGACCCTCCCCCCTCTCATGCTCTCTCTCTCTCTCTCAAATAAATAAAATCTAAAAAAAAAAAAAAAAAAAGACATTGCAATCTGGGCACCTGGGTGGCTCAGTCAGTTAAGCATCTGCTTTCGGCTCCTGTCATGATCCCAGGGTCCTGGGATTGAGCCCTGTGTCAGGCTCCCTGGTCAGTGGGGAGCCTGCTTCTCCTAATAAATAAAATTAAAAAAAAAAAAAAAAAGACATTCAGATTTAAAAGGTTTTTAAGTAGGGGCACCTGGGTGGCTCAGTTGGTTAGGTGGCCAACTCTTGCATTTGGCTCAGGTCATGGTTTGGGGGGCCTGGAACTCCCCCTCCCCCATTGGGCTTTGTGCTCCATGCAGGGTCTGCTTGAGGATCATTCTCTCCCTCTTCCTCTGCCCCTTCCTCCTGCTTGTGTTCTCTCAATAAATCTTAAAAAAAAAAAAAAGTTTTCTTTTTTAAAAAAATTTTTTTTAATATTTTATTTATTTATTAGAGAGAATGAGAGAGAGAGAGCACAAGAGGGAAGAGGGTCAGAGGGAGAAGCAGACTCCCCACCGAGCAGGGAGCCCGATGTGGGACTCAATCCCGGGACTCCAGGATCATGACCTGAGCCGAAGGCAGTCGCTCAACCAACTGAGCCACCCAGGCGCCCAAAAAAAAGGTTTTCAAGGAATTTTCTTGTTCCCTTTAATTTTTACTAAACACACAGTATCACATTCATACATCCTGTTCTCCCTGGCACCACTGCCAAAGGAAGACAGCAGTCTTTACAACCATTATCAGAGTCAGGAAGCAGGGCGATGGAGACAGCTATTAACTTAAAACCTCTCAGAGCTCAGGCAGATTCTACTTCCCTCTCCAACAGCCACCACTATGGCCACCACTATCCCGTCGGTGTTGCTATAAGGGACCCCATGTAGCCCTTCTAGATTCCGTCTATCAAAAGAAACAGGCTTTTAGTGGAGGCAGTGGCCTGGTGGTATGAGAAAGCTAAAGCTTAGTGCTGAGGAAACAGAAGTTTCTCTTCCACTTACTGGCTTTAGCACAGGAGGAGAATGGGAAAATCCCCAGGCCAGGAAGCTTCACAAATGGCATTTTTTCCCCCAGACTGTAAAGTCACTTTTGATTGAGGCTAAGGGGCCCTACTGTTACTGAAAAAGACACAGTCCTTTAGCACACGTTTTCACTGGTAGGATGGTGCTGCTGGACACGGTTTTTCCTTTTGTGTTAAGCTAGAAAACCCAGGGATGTTAGCAGGATGGTTGAAGCTGCAGTCAGAGCCCTCAGGGCACATAACTGAACTTCATATATATTACAGGATCATCAGTCTGAATCCAGGTCATGGGGGCTGTCATAGCCAAACTCCTTCTGCACATCCAAAGGGTATTTGCTCCACATCTGTGGTCTGCTGTTGCCTCTTTCCTCTTCGCTGAGGCTGTCATATTCATCAGAGCCTAGAATGGTAACAGGAATGGGCTCTGAGTTTCTAGGTGACCATGATAATCATTTCCCATCTCAGGAAGGTCTGGTTTTTTTTGTTGTTGTTGCTGTTCTCCCTTCTACGATACTTGCTCAGTAAAGAGAATTTAGGGGGGAAAAAAAAAGGCAAGCCCGTTTCTACTACCTAAACCAAATCCCTCAAGAACACGGGGAGTATTTTTTCATTTCTCCCCTAAGTATAGGATTTCTTTTTGTTATTATAGTTGTAGTCATACTGTAAACATAATTTCACGTCTGCCCTATCCTTTTAACTTATCAGTACTTCCCCAATAGAATATTCACAGTTTAATTAACTGTCCCTCCATTAACAGACACCAAGAAATTCTTTTTGTTGGCACAAAGAACATAGTCCCTGAAGGATCCATGTCACCAGAGTATCTTTCCTTCCTCTTTCCCCCAGGTACCATGTCTGTGTTGCATCTTTCTCAAAATGTAAACAAAACAATTTCTTGAGAAGTTAGATAACTGATCTGTCAAAATCCTAGCCCTGCTCCAACTGGCAAACCTCTCCAATACCTTTTTTTTTTTATTTATCAGAGAGAGAGACAGAGGCAGGCAGAGGGAGAAGCGGGCTCCGATGTGGGACTCGATTCCAGGACCCTGGGATGACCTGAGCCGAAGGCAGACGCTTAACCGACTGAGCCACCCAGGCGTCCCTCCAATACCTTCTTGACTGAAGCAAGAGAAGAGACACTGAGCTGTTTCCCTTAATCCCAACCACTGAAGTTAGTGCAATATTCTCTTGTTTTCTGGAGAGAGGATGAGGCTCCATGAGGTGAAGTAACTTCCCCAAGACCTACAGATAGGCAATGACAGAACTAAGGATTTGAGGGGCGCCTGGGTGGCTCAGTCGTTAAGTGTCTGCCTTTGGCTCAGGTCATGATCCCAGGGTCCTGGGATTGAGCCCCACATCGGGCTCCCTACTCGGCAGGAGGCCTGCTTCTCCCTCTCCCACTCCCCCTGCTTGTGTTCCTGCTCTTGCTGTGTCTGTCTCTATCAAATAAATAAATAAAATCTTTAAAAAAAAAACACACTCTTAAAAAAAAAAAAAACTAAGGATTTGAACCTAGGCTTCCCCCGGAAACTCTCGTTCTTGGGGCTCCTATAGCTCTAACAGCTTGTGGTTGAGCTGTTGGGAGTTCAATGGCAGAGAAGGAAAGCCAGTTAAGATGTACTTGTTAACCATGCTCACAACTCAGTCTTGGATCCCACTAGTCCCTTCCCATCCAAGGCCGTCACCCATGTACCTCTGGACTCATCTCCATCAGTGTTCTCCTCCTCTGGATACTCATTGCGCCAGTTATTCTCACTATTCTCATCATCATCATCTTCATAAATATCTTCTGGTTGCTGGTCATCATTCACCTGCACATCTCAACACAAACATGAGTATAAGTCAAAACCTCTAAGGTTGTGCTGTAGGAGAAGCTATTAGCAGACCAACTTGAAAAAATCACTTAAGAGCACTGTGTGGAAAAGAGGCAGCCTAGGAGCTGGTCTGAGTATGCTGCACAAGGGGCTGTAGTAACCTTGGGCTACAAGGTAGAGACAGCAGCCCTACTCCTCACTCAGAGTCTAGCTCCAGCCATCACATTCCTGGTGGGATAGGATGAACTCCAGAAGGGAACACACCAGGGTGGGGATGAGAGAGACCTCTGAGTAAGTGTTGGCAGTGATCTTTAAACTTTTGGACAGCCAGGTGGGAGAGAGATTATATGGATTACGGGTGATGCCGAAAACCAGAACCAAAATCTAAGTGTGAGGGGCACAGGGAGAGGGACTATGCAATGATCCAAGGTGGATGCCTGACTGTGAGACAATGGTTGCAATGCAGGTATGGGATAAGATGCCGCTCCTCACTTTAGAATTTGTTTTAAGAATAATGATGTCAAGGGGTGCTTGGCTGGCTCAGTCAATAGAGCTGCAACTCTTGATCTCAGGGTTATGAGTTCAAGCCCCACACTGGGTGTAGAGATTGCTTTAAAAAAAAAAAATGTCAGGATGTTAGCTTTCTTAATCCAAGGTCTCCCCCCTTTTAAGATCCAGTTAAAAAAAAAAAAAAGCTTTTACTCCTATTCATGTTAAGAATTTCTGGTTTATTTTGTCTTTATTATAAGCCCCTATATGTTTTCCCCTGAAAGTGGGTGTTAATAAATGATAAAAACAATGTTGCAAACCTTGTAAAAGATCTAAGAGCAAAAATTATCAGTGTACCTGTCATTCCCAAAATTCCCTGCACTAAACCCAGGTTCCTAGAAGGCATTTAGAATAAATTTTTCCATTTAAACAAGGACAAGAAGAGCTAAGAACAATCTTGAACCCATTGGAGGCAATGTGGAACACAGGGAAGCAAAGCACCCAGACTAGAGAACTGCTTAGGCTACCTCATACCCTTCTCATCCTCATGGGTCCCCTTACCAGCTCCCACTCCTGGCAATAGGGCTGCACAGAGAGGATGTTCTCAATCCATCCTGGAGTGGCCATCTCCAAGTAGTAAATGTCATATACATAGTCATCCTTCTGCTCCTCCTGGTGCCCAATTCTCGGTCCATCCTCAGATAGAGTCAGCCGTTCACGAATCAACTCTATGGAATTGCAGAGGATCACATCTGGGTCAGATGTCTGTAAAGAAATCAAGAGATGATACATACATGATCCAAAACATGGAAGTTCCAAAAGGAGAAATTTAAGATTTGAGTGAAGGAAGTCTCTACAGTTGTCTATGTTAGATTCAAGATTCTTTTTTTTTTTTTTTTTTAAGATTTTATTTATTTGACAGAGACAGAGCGAGGGAACACAAGCAGGGGGAGTGGGAGAGGGAGAAGCAGGCTTCCCTCTGAGCAGGGAGCCCGATGTGGGGCTTGATCCCAGCACTCTGGGATCATGACCTGAGCTGAAGGCAGACGCTTAATGACTCAGTCACCCAGGCGCCCAAAAGGCAACATTTTAGATGCAGGTAATTTTAACCGAATTGGCATAGTTAAGACCAAAAAGGTAAAGTGGACACTGCCAGCTTATCTTCAGCCCTTGCCTTTAACAGGCTAACAAACACAACTTGAAACACAGCTGAGTCTTGCTGTTCTATGAGACGGTGAAGGGATTTCCTCAGTATTTACATATATATTAATATAACCAGTTATATCAGTCCAAATATAAAACCAATCTTCTATAAGTTTAGAAATGGCATTTACCATCTCTGTGAAAGGCTGAACATTACTGGGGCACCTGGCTGGCTCAGTTAGTGGAGTATATGACTGTTCATCTCTGGGTTGTGGGTTTGAGCCCCATGTTCAGTGTATAGATTACTTAAAAATAAAATTAAAGGGCGCCTGCGTGGCTCAGTTGGTCAAGTGACTGCCTTTGGTCAGTGTCTCCTCTCCCCAGGTGATGCATTTGTTCTATTTATTATTTTACTTATTTATTTGAAAGCGAGAGCTCTTGCACACGGGGGGAGGGGCAGAAGGACAAGTAGACTCCCTGCTGAGCATGCCCAATGCAGAGCTGGATCCTCTGACCCCAAGATCATGACCTGAGCTGAAGTCAGACATAACCGACTGAGCCACCCAGGTGCCCGGATACCTCTTGTTGGCATCCTTGTAAGAAAATCCAGGGGCCAGGGCGCCTGGTTAAGCGACTGCCTTTGGCTCGGGTCATGATCCCGGAGTCCCAGGATCCAGTCCCACATCAGGCTCCCTGCTCAGCAGGGAGTCTGCTTCTCTCTCTGACCCTCCCCCCTCTCATGTGCTCTCTCTCTCAAATAAATAAATAAAATCTTAAAAAAAAAAAAAGAAAAAATCCAGGGGCCCGACCTTTTGCTCTAATAGACCATAGAGATTTGGCCCAGTCTTATGCCTTGCCTTGCCTCTTTTTTCGACAGTATGGCAATGGGCACACTTCTGAACAAAAATCTTCTTGCCCTTCTCAACACTACCCATTTTTAAATCGCTCTTCTGTTGCACGACAAATGCAGGTGACTGCTGGCAAGCCAGATGTCCCACTCTTTCATGTGCGAACACTTTTTAAAAAAAATTTTTATTTATTTATTTGAGAGAGAGAAAGAGAACAAGCAGGGAGGAGGGGCAGAGGGAGAGGAAGAAGCAGGCTCCCTGATGCAGGGCTTGATCCCAGGACCCTAAGATCATGACCTGAGCCTAAGGCAGCCACTTAACCGACTAAGCCACCCAGGTGCCCCAATGAGCAAACACTTTTTGATGTATTTACAGTTTGTATTGCATTGTTGAGAAAGATCTGTGTTCACATCCTTCATCAGTTTATATACTAGTTTTTGTTATAAAACTGAATGAGCTATTTGATTGATTTGATTCCACTCAACACTGGTTTACTTTTAAAAGGTATTTGACTTGTAACTTATGAATCAGTCTTCAATTAGTTTTGGTAAGAAGTGGCTGTAGTCATCATGCCCAAATTGTTATCCAAGTATATTAGCACCACAATTAAATATTTTTTGCTTGATATATTTTGAATTAAAATTTCAGTTTTTAAACTTCAAAAACTATCAAAAGGAGTGAAGAGTGAAGTTTTTTTTTTAAATGCTTACCAAGAGGAGGCAAACCTTAGCTTGAGAATTTTCTATTTCTATAGTCTTTTTTTTTTTT